GTTGTTGTTGTATACTGGTCATCAGCTTTGGGCAGTACGAAATTTCAAATCATAAGTACTCTCTGTGCAATCTTAAATATTGATGAAACAAGCCTTAACGAGGATGCTAAGTTTCTAAAGACAACGGCCAGCGGTGTATATATATATATATAAAACATCCTAGGTAAATTCCATATTTTGATTAAAAAAAGAGAGAAAAGATGGGTACTTAGGGAAATAAAATGTTGCGGAAGATTGTGGATTAACTAGCACACAATCATACACAAAGCAAACAAATAAGAAAAATTAACACAAAGATTTAACGAGGATCGACTAAGCCTAACCCTTGGGGAAAACGCAGAGAGAGTTTTCCACTATGAATGAGAAGAAAAGCACAATACAATCTATATAATCCCCAACTACAACCCCTATGTATAGATCCCAAATAGTCCCAAACCTATAAGAGAAAGGTTTCCCAATTTGACAAGGACTACAGATTTTCCTTTCCCAAATCTATTGGGATAATGGGTTTTCCTAAATCTATAGGAACTATGGGTTTCTTAAAAATACAAGGAAATAATTTAAGCCACAAAATAATAAATCTTCCCCTTTGCTTGAATTCTCTTTATCAACAGGAACAACGTCTCTCTACCTTGCCCTCAGCCCTCGCAAGGGCTCTACCCATTGCCGCACACATCAACCAAGTCTAGGCAACGCCTAAAGTTGTTAAGAGACTCAATCTCTTCAGCCATAGCATTAATCCGTCGATTTGGTTCTATACCCAGAATAGCTTCTGGATAGCTATAACACTCAAACGCATCAACTGTCTTTACAATTTCCAAAGCAAATCCCACATGATTCATATATCCAAGAAGATCCCCATCAATTATGTTTGCAAACCTTTGCGGTCGGTTGATCACTCTCTTCTCTCTGCCTATTGCAATACTATATGGTTGTTGTTGCGCAGGTGCATCAACATTATCATCTTGATCAATATTTTTGCACCTCCTCCACTTCTTCTACTTCAGAATTACTGGGCTGAGCTAGTGGAGATTCAATTTCTAGCTCTATACGGTCACTGATACCATGATCTGTTTTTGCTATTGCCTTCTCCCTCTGACTGTCCAGTGAGGCAGATTCATTAAATGTCATATCCCTACTGATAATTAGCCTTGGAGTCTTTTGATCTGTGCACCACAACAACCTAAAACCTTTCACTCCAATTGCATACCCTAGAAATATGCACTTCTTTGCCCTCGGCTCAAGTTTTTCATCCCTCACATGAGCATAAGTAGGACAACCAAATATCCTTAAATTTGAATAATCAGCAGGTGAACAAGACCATACCACAAAAGGAGTTTTGAACTCAATAGCTGTGGATGGAGATCTATTGACCAAATAACAAGCTGTATTGATTGCTTCAGCCCAAAATTCTTTGCTAACACATGAGTGTGAAAGCATGCTTCGTGCCCTATCACAAAGCATTCTGTTTATACCTTTTGCAACACCATTTTGTTGTGGTGTTCCGACACAAGTGCGGTGTCTCACTATGCCCTCTCTATTACAGTAATTATCGAACTCAGGATTGCCAAATTCCAACCCATTGTCAGTTCGAAGACGCTTAACTTTTCTTTTCGTCTGCCTCTCAACCATCGTCTTCCATTTAACAAATGTCGAAAATGCATCATCTTTTGTTTTCAGAAAATACACCCATACCATCCTTGAGTAATCATCAATCGAAGTCATAAAATACCTGGCACCACTCTTGGAGGGAACTCTGTTTGGACCTCACAAGTCTGAATATATATAATCTAACTTGTCTCTAGTGTTGTGCTTGGCCTTCTTGCTAAACTTTACCTTTATCTGTTTACCAAACACACAATGCTCACAAAAATTTAAAACTTGGTTTTTGTACCCATTCAGCGAATTCTGCTTACTCAACAAAGACAATCCATTATCACTCATATGACCAAGTCGCAAGTGCCACAACTGAGATGATTCTGATCACTTTTCGCAGAAGCCACAGCAGTTTCCCCTTCAATTACATTGGCCTGAAGTGATACAATTTAGAATGCAGTTTAACCTTCATGAGTACCATGGAGCATTTACACACTTTAAGTATTCCATTCTCGGAGTGAAATTTATACTCTTGATTATCCAAAGTCGAAAGAGAAATCAAATTTCTTTTTATCCGAGGAACATGCCAATACTCAAGTTTCTAATAATTCCATCAAGCATTCTCAATTTGATGTTACCAATCCCCTCTACTGGTAATGGATTATCATTTCCCATGTAGACAGTCCCACTCATTTGTTTGTAAGTTGCAAACATGTGAAAAGTAGCACCAGAATCAAGAAGCCAAGAATTCTGCCCATGACTAGAACTCACAGCACAGACTTCCCCTACATAGTCACTATCATATTGCCAGTGTAAAAAATATTTGTCGAATTATCTATTTTCTGCTTCCCTCTTTTCTCCTTCAGCTTAGGACAATCTCTCTTGTAGTGACCTTGCTCCCCGCACTCATAACAGTTTTGCTTCCTTGCTCTAGACTTTGATTTGGCGATTGACTTTTTCCTGTTAAAGTCCTTTTGTTGTGTTCTTCCTCTAATCACAAGACCCCCTCCCTAAATTCTGTTGTCTGGAAAACTCTTTTCAACTCTTTAGATTTTAGTGCATTACTAACATCTTTCAGTGAAATGTTGTCTTTCCCATATAGCAGCGTATCGGCAAAAGTATCATAAGACGGTGGTAAAGAACATAACACAATCAAGGCCTGATCCTTACTCTCAATTTTGATATCCACGTTCGTCAAGTATATTATAATTGAATTAAACTCATCAAGGTGAGTTTTAACAGGTGTACCTTCGTTTATATGGAGATTGTATAACCTCTTTTTCAGGTAGAGGCGGTTTGTTAGCAATTTCTTAGAATACAGATCTTCCAACGTCTTCCATGCCGTTACGGCAGAAGTTTCTTCAACAATTTTCAAAGAACGCTATCTGTAACGCTCATGAATATCACACTTAAAGTTCACTCCTTCAGGTCTGCCTTCTATGTCTCTTTCATCTCTTCACGAGAATCTTCATCAATTGCCTTCCATAACCCTTGTAACACCAGGGACGATTTCATCCTAATTTTTCATAGACTGAAACTAGTACCCCCCTCAAATTTCTCTACTTCGTACTTTGTTGAAGATGATGAAGACATCTTACCCTAGATTATATGTAGAAACCCGAACCTTGCTCTGATACCAATTGTTACGGAAGATCGTAACAATTGTTACAGATGTAGATCCCAAATAGTCTCAAACCTATAAGAGAAAGGTTTTCCAATTTGACAAGGACTATAGGTTTTCCTTTCCCAAATCTATTGGGACAATGAATTTTCACAAACTTATAGGAATTATGAGTTTCCTAAAAAATACAGGGAAATAATTCAAGTCACGGAATAACATAAACATTAGACCCAAATGATAGCATTTTATAGCCATTTGACTTGAGTCGAGAGCCAACAACATCACTATTGAATTAAGGTAAGTTGTTACATTCGCATACACACATTCTGGTTTATTTTCATTTTCAATAAAACACTCCATTGGTTTTCGTCTTGTAAGTCCCATCTTTTATGCACACTTATGTAGTTTATACTTATTTTTTAAAGATCATGGGCGTTAAAGGAGGCATTTAACTTGACACGGACGAAGGGTAAGATCCCTCATTAGATGCAAATCCCTGATTAGTAAGCCCAATTGTCCGAGTATTAAGATAGATATAAATTAGAATAAAAACAAATTATTTTGATCAGACTGGAACGCGAAAAGGCTGGATCTCTAAACAAAGCCGAAACAGATTTCTTTAAAATAAAGTTGTTTGAATTAATAATTTAAGATGGTACTCTAAACTTTGTTAAATAAAAAATACTCCATTAGATGATAACAATTTTGTAGTTGTATAGAAAAATCACTAGTCCCACAAAATGTGAAAATCACATTATTCAACGAGTAATGTGTATAACCATTTTTTCCTTTTCACACACCGACCAAGGTACTTTACGGGAAGCAACATCCGCCGTCCAGATTCCGTTATAATGTATTATAAAAAAGTGCTACAGGTGTATTCAGAATTTATTTTAAGTTTGCCACCAAACTCACTGTTTTAGTTACTCGATTTGCATTTAAATATCTATACATATTCTGATATTTTTTTATATAAATATAATATTTTAGTTAAAGTTATTAGAATTCATCTGAATCCATACCTAATACTACCTTTGTTCCACTTTAAGTGGGCACGATTTGAAGTACGCGGGTCAAAGTTCTTTATTTTGATAGTAAAATAAATAATTTTTTTAAATTTTTGAAAATAAAATTTACATAAAAAAATTATTAATCGTAAATATTTATAATTTAAGATATTTTTTGAAAAAAATATGACCAAACAATAACCTCGTAGCCTCCCCAAATGAGGGGTGCTATAGTTTCGGCCCGGAAAAGAACAACCAAGGTTGCATATGATTTCACGTCAGCATGAACTCCCTTTAAGAGCTCGAGCTGAGTTCCCATTTTCTGTAACAATTTTCTTTCTCATTAAGTGGAGACATCTTTTCTATGGATGATAACAACGCATTAAAAAAATTACTCCCTCCGGTCCAAAATAAGTGATTTTTTGGCCTTTTTCTTGTGGTCCAAAATAAGTGATTTTTTTCAGATTTCAAGAATGAATTAATTATTTTTTTTCCTACATTGTCCTTGGAGTAAATAGTGTTGGAATATGTGTTAGGAGTGTTTATGTGAGATAGTAAAGGTTAATATGGTCAATTCTATTGCTAATTAATGCTAAAAGGTGAATTTCTTAATCTGTGTGAAAACATCCAAAAAATCACTTATTTTGGACCGGAGGGAGTATTAGTTAAGGTGGGGAAAACAACAACCTCGAACCTCAATTTGCACTAATTTTTTCTAATTCGATTGCCTGGTCAATACTTACCCACACGTGGTCAATGAGCGATCAATAAGACCAATGGCTAGAGCTGGTGATTTCCATTGCATTTCGAAGAGATGCCAGCCTAAGGTCGACCACAGTGGTCAAGCCTACGTTATAGTTTGTGGTAGTGGAGGCATGCGTTCGCGCAACCCCTATTGAAAAAAAAATTGCCTGGTCAAAACTCGATAACAATTATTCGAATACTACTATTAATAATCTCTTCAGTAAGCTGGTAAATGCAAAATCCCATCTCAGTGGCTAGCCGAAATGATGGTAGAGTAGGGTCATGTCCTGGGGTGGGCCAGGGGGCGGGGGACAAGTGTGGCAAGAGGGTAAGGGATCTAGTAGGCTGAGAGTGGGGTCCTGGAACATAGGGACACTGATGAGTAAGTCTATAGAGTTAGGGAGGATTCTTCAAAAGAGGGAGGTTAATATAACATGTGTCGAGTAGACTAGATGGAAGGGTACGGGGGCTCGAGATATTAACAGGTTTAAACTATGGTACTCACGAGGAGCTGCTGGCAAGAACGAAATAGGTATTTTAGTTGATAGGGATCTCAGGGAGATGGTGGTGGATGTTAGGAGGGTGAATGATAGGGTAATGACTATTAAGTTAGTGGTTAGTGGAGTCACTTTTAACGTGATTAGCGCTTACGCACCTCAGGTGGGCCTGGGCGAGGAGGTCAAAAGACGTTTCTGGGATGATTTGGATGAGGTTGTGCGTGGTATTCCATACTCCTAGAAGCTCGTCATGGGGGGTGATTTTAATGGCCATATTGGGGTGACTGCTAGGGGTTATGACGAGGTGCATGGCGGGTTCGATATTAGAGTTAGGAATGAGGGCGGTACCTCATTGTTGGATTTTGCTAGAGCTTTTGACTTGATGTTAGCTAATTTGTGTTTCCAGAAGAGGGAGGAACACTTGGTCACTTTCCAGAGTAAGGTAGCTAGGACTCAAATTTATTACCTTCTGCTTAGGGGGTGATAGAGGCTTTTGCTCTGATTGCAAGGTTATTGTCTGTCGATGCAGCATAAGTTCTTGGTAATGGACTTGGAGGTCAAGAGAGTAAGAAAGAAGAGAGCGGTGTACGACCAGCCTAAGATTAAGTGGGGAGCCTTGAGTAAGGCAAATGCTCAGGATTTGGGGGAGAAGGTGTTGGCCATGGGGGCCTGGAGGAGTAGTGGGGACGCGAGTAGTATAAGGACCACGACAACAAAGTGCATTAGGGAAGCTGCTAGAGAAATTTTAGGGGTAAAGAAAGGTTATTCTAGAGGCCACAAAGGGGAGTGTGGTGGAATGAGGAGGTCCAAGAAAATGTGGAAGCTAAAAAAGCGGCATATCTAAAGCTAGTGAGGAGCGCATATGAGGAGTAGAAGAGGGCATGTAAGGAGTGTTATAAGAAGGCAAGGAAAGAAGCAAAATTAGCAGTCACGGCGGCAAAGACTGCAGCTTTTGAGCGATTGTCTGACGATCTTGGGGGCATAGGAGGTGACAAAAAGTAGTACAGGTTAGCCAAGATTAGGGAGAGGAAGGCTCGGGACCAGGACCAAGTGCGGTGCATGAAAGACGAAGATGGTAAAGTTCTGGTGGAAGAGGCGTGTATCAGGCGTAGATGGAAAGAGTACTTACATATACTATTGAACGGGGAATGGGACAGGAACATCGTACTATGTGTGTTGGAAAACTCAGAGAGTCAGAGGGATTTTGGGTTTTGTAGGCATATTAGGAGCGAGGAGGTTGAGGGGGCAACACGGACGATGAGCAGCGGTAATGCAACTGGGCTTGTTGAGAACCTAGTGGAATTTTAGAAGGAAGTGGGTCGGGCAGGCTTGGAGTGGCTTACTAGTTTATTTAATGCCATTTCCAGGACGAAGAAGATGCCCAAAGATTGGTGATGGAGTTTGATGATCCCGTTGTATAAAAACAAAGTTGATATCCAGGACAACAACAACTATAGGGGTATCAAGCTGTTGAGTCATACTATAAAATTTGGGAGAGGGTGGTAGAGAGGAGGGTGCGACGTTGTATTACTATTTTCGAGAACCAGTTTGGATTTATGTGGGGACAGTCTACTATAGAAGCCATTCACCTTATGAGGAGATTGGTGGAGCAGTATAGGGAGAGGAAGAAATACTTGCGTATGGTATTCATAGACCTAGAGAAGGCCTACGATGAAGTCCCGAGAGAGGTCCTATGAAGATTTATGGAGGCTAGTGATGTCCCGGTGGCGTAAATTAAGGTGATTAAGGACATGTATGAGGGAAGGAAGACTCAGGTGAGGACTGCGAGAGACTCGGATCATTTTCCAGCGGAGATGGGGTTGCATCAGGGATCGACTCTTAGCCAATATTTGTTTGCCTTAGCTTTAGAGATGTTGACGTGACACATATAATGAGAGATGCCATGGTGTTTGCTATACACTGATGACATAATTCTGATTGACGAGACGCGAGATGCGAGATGGAGTTAACGCTGGTTGGAAGTTTGGTTACAGACGCTGGAGTCTAATGGTTTCAAGTTGAGTAGGTCAAAAACTGAGTATTTGGAGTGCAAGTTCAGTGATAGGATGCATGAAGAAGGAGTGGAAGTGAAGATTGATACTCAAGTTGTCCCCAAAAGAGATAGTTTCAAGTATCTTGGGTCTATTATACAAGGCGACAGGAAGATTGACGAGGATGTTACTCATCGTATTGGAGCGGGGTGGATGAGATGGAGACTAGCCTCGAAGGTTTTGTATGATAAGAATGTGCCACATGGATTTAAGGGCAACTTCTACAGAGTGGTGATTAGACCGACTATGTTGTATGGGGCTGAGTGCTGACCCGTCAAAAAGTTCTATGTCCAGAAGATGAAAGTAGCGGAAATGAGGATGTTAAGATGGATGTGTAGACATACCAGGAAGGACATGATTAGGAATGAAGTTATTAGGGACAAGGTAGGAGTGGCATATGTGGGGGACAAGTTGCGAGAATCGAGGCTGAGATGGTTCGGACATGTGAAGAGGAGATACATAGATGCTCCGATTAGGAGGTGTGAGAGATTTTTCATTGCGGGTCTGAGGAAGGGAAGGGGTAGGCCTAAGAAGTATTAGGGAGAGGTAGTTAGACATGAGATGTCATTGCTCCAGCTCACCGAGGAAATGACCCACGATAGAAAGGTGTGGAGGTTGAGTATTAGGATTGTAGGTTGACAGATAGTAGTGTGTTCCTCCTAGGCTTATCAGTAATACTAAGACTATCTTTGTATTATCTTATTCATGGTTCTTTATTATTATATGCTGAGTCATTCACGCCCGTTACTATAATGCATTGTTGTTACTATTTGTTTGTTACTTGTTTCTTTATCTCCATTGTTTCTTGAGCCGAGGGTCTGTTGGAAACAACCTCTCTATCTCTATAAGGTTGGGGTCAGGTCTGCATATACACTACCCTCACAGACCCCATTTATCGGAATACACTGAATTTATTATTGTTGTTGTTGTTCATTTATTTTTTACTTTTGTAACTTTCAAATGTAAATTCTTAACTCTATATAAAATTATTATTCTTCAAATTCTACTATTAAATTTAAACAAGTAAAACATATAACTACTAATACATTATGAAACATTTAGGGGTGGCAATTTGAGCTTAAACCCATTCAACTCACCCAACTCGTCTAAGGTTGAGCTGGTCATTGACCCGCCCATTTGTTAAATTCAACTCATCTTGACCCATCACATCTCAACCCATCTAAAGTTGAGCTGATTTTTAAATTAATCCATGAGTAACTTTGCTAGATTATCTTTAAAATATTTTTTTTTGTTTGATATGTTTATATATGACCATAGCAAAAGAAAAAATAATCTTATTTGATAATTAAACAATTCATAAGAAAATAACACACTAATTAAAACTTGGTAAGAATTGGGCGGGTTGGACTATAATCCAATTTTTAACACATCTTGACTCAACTCATCTCAGCCCAAGTAACTTTTGGGCGAGTCATTGACCAACCCATTTATTGACTCAGCCCAATTTGATTCGGCCAAAACCAGCTCAACCCGCTCATTTGACACGCTTGATACATCCAATGTAAATGCTTACATTAATATTTTGACGTCTTGCGATGTTATCAGCGAAGTCAAACAAAAACAAGAAGTTGACGAAACCTGAAAATTGTTGTTTTGATACGGAAAATATACTTGAGAAGCAAGTAGGAAATTACAAAATTAAAACGTAGTAGTAAAATAAACAAGAAAAGAGGTCCAAAATGCACGAAAAGAAGTTTAGAGCTGTTAACATCGCTTCGGGGTGTGGGTCCAACATTTGGATTTTGGTGTTTTCCTTGATAAACCAAAATTAGAGAAGATAAAAAAGGAATTAAGATGGGTAATGATACTTAAGTGTATTGTTAAGAGACTTTTTCATTGCTTGGCGCACGCCAACTAATGAACATGTCTCTGCACATGTCAAATGTTTGTCATGATTTGAACTTTATTGAAACATCATGCTTAGGGATATTTAAGTCTAAATTTTTAAAAACTTCAGTGGTGCATTTTAGATTTTGTTGAAAGAAAAAAAATGTAGTGCATTTTAGATGTGAAATCAACTAAATTGTTCCCCACACAATAACTAAAGAGAATTTTGATACATTAATTAATTATTGCTAGAATCCTTTTTTTTTCAAAATAAAAGCAAATTTCCTATTATAATTTCAGATACCACAGTTACTCACTTAATCGACTCTGTATTTGATATAGAATAACTTATATTTATTGTATGGAGTCCAACTAATTACTATATGACTATTTTTATGATGACTCAAGACAGTTTATAACTATCGCAAATTTTTACCATCATTATTAATCCTAAATTTGTGGCACAAAAATATTTATAAGGTGGGTACATTTTGATATTCGTTTCCAGAATAAAGAGAAAGAAGACATAGCACCGGGGAATAGCTCCGAGAGTGACTTCTCTAAGGAGCCATTCTTGCGAGGAGCAAGGGATAGTCATGAGCGATGGGAGATCACACAAAATTGACTCATTCTTAATAAAAATTTTACCACCATTATTAATCCTGTGATCGATATAAGACATGGAATATCAAATTCTTTATTTTATTTTATTTCTGAAGAAAAAAAAGGTTATCAAGCAAAAGTAGTCAAAAATAGCACATATTGATATAGAAATGTGTAGGTGGTTCTGTGAGTTGTAACATAAGGAAATCCTAAATACTAGCAAAATGTTGCAAATGGCTAGTTCCAGGAAGCCAGTGTTTATTCATCAAATATTCCTAACATATTGCCATGCAAGTGGACCTAATAAAACTAATCCATCATAGTCAATTTTTTATATTGAAAATGGCACCATGTAGCCGCTTTGAACATCCTTATTACAAAAACGTCTAGCTCGGGTCAGGCTGAAGTTAGGCTCTATCGAGCCTAAATTCAGATTGAAGATCTGAATTTGACTTGCATTCAAACTTCAGACATAAGGTGTGAAGTTAGACTTCGACAGAGCCTAATTTCAAATTCAATAGATTAAAGTGTGAAACTTCAGACCTTACAGTTGAAACTTTAAATTTGACGATCTGAAATTGATTTTGAGGCTACTAAATTTTACTTTTAGTATTCTTTAAATGGGAGTCTTAAAACTGGTTATTTGTGCACTTCCCCATTTTTTTTTTCTCCAAAATTGTTATTGGGAAATTATTCACTCTGAGTCAAAATAATAAAATTATTTTTGATTGGACAAGAA